TATATATATATATATGTCTTAATATTCACATATATAATGTAATATATTAAAACAAATAATTTTTTGATAAAATAAAATTTGTAGCATGCATGTTTTTCTTTTGTGTTTTTTATTTATTGTATACGTTGATTGAAAAAATCAAAATAGTAAAATTGTATACATTGATTAAAAAAATCAAAATAAGAAAAATCATAAGATTTATATTCCATTTAGAATTGTTATTATAAGATATATTTTAAAATAAATTATCATCTAAAAATATATATTAGATATTAAAAACATATTTATATCATAAATAAATTAAACTTTATTTTTATAAATTTAACATATAGATTTTTATATTTTTAATAGTGTTAAATTATTATAAAATAAGTCTATATGATTGTAGTTCTACCCAAATATTTAAAAATTATCTATGATAGATAAATAAGTCACACTTAAAATATATATTTTTAAAGAAAGTTAGGTTCAAACCAAGTAAATTATAATAAAATATAGTATGACCTAATTTATTTTCATCTTTAATACTAATCGTAGATATAAAAAAAACTTGTAATAAATAATTATAATATATATTTATACCTTTAAAAGATATATAAAATTTTTAATACTACAAATATATATAAGAAATTAAAAATAAGAAATTAAAAAAGAAATTAAAAAAAGAAATTAAAAATTAAAATTAAAAATAAGATTTCCGATGGAAAATTTTGTCGGAAATTTCCGACGAAATAAATTCGTCAGAAATTTTTGACGGAATATTCCGTCGAAAATTTTCCGTTAGAAATTTTTGACGGAATTGTTTTTCCGTCAGAAATTTCTGACGAAATTTTCTGTCGGAAAGTTTCTATCGGAAATTTCCGATGGATTTATTTTTCTGTCAGAAATTTTCGATGAAAAATTTCCAACAGAAAATTCCATCGGAAATTTCCGATAGAAATATAAATCCGTCGGAAATTTCCGACGGATCCATATCTGTCGGAAATTTTCCGTCAGAAATTTACATTTTTCTTGTAGTGTAGTAACTGGTTTTGTTAATTTAGAGATTGAAAATTTAGTCTCTAAAAACAAATTTTCTTGTAGTACCTTCTTAGACTTATCTCTTCCAAGAATTTGGAAAGTAGATTTCTATCATAAATAATTCACACTTTATCATTCACAAACATGATAAAATAAAATAAAAGAAAGAAAGAGCTTTTTAAAGTTGATTTTGATAGAGCAACACACCATTGAATTAATGATGTTTACTGCTTTGATTTTAATGATAATAAAATCATGATTATAATGAAATAATGATTTAACAAAGAATATGTGTATAAAAGCTACAAATATTTAATAATCAATTATATGAATAATCAATTATTATCATAATTGATTGTCATAAAAAATGAAATGTGTTTGAATAAGTTTGTTGAAAAATAATTTAAAAAGTTTAAATTCATTTGAATACAACGAAAAAAGGTAATATTTAATTATGTAGTGAAATAAGCTTCAAACTTTTAGCTTCATAAAAATAATTTATTTTCAAAAAAGAAAAAACAATTTACAAATTTAATTTGTTGTTCCAAACACAACAATTTTCTTACAAACAACTCCTTTTCTAAAAAGCAGCTGAAAGTTGAGATTTTAATCTCTCCCGGCTACACTAAGTCATTACAGGAAAACATGTGTTAAGATGCACTAAAATTAGAGACTAAATTTTTTAGTTTCTAATTTAAATATTACTAGAAACTGATTTTTTTGGTCACTATTTAGCTACTTTCTACAATTGGTATCTAATTCAGTCACTTATTGATTTAGTAACTGATTTAGAGATTGAAAATTTAGTCTCTAAAAACAAATTTTCTTGTAGTGCCTTCTTAGACTTATCTCTTCCAAAGAAATTCTTGAAAAGTAGGTAATATTTAATTATGTAGTGAAATAAGCTTCAAACTTTTAGCTTCATAAAAATAATTTATTTTTCAAAAAAGAAAAAACAATTTACAAATTTAATTTGTTGTTCCAGACACAACCATTTTCTTACAAACAACTCATTTTCTGAAAACCAGCTGAAAGTTGAGATTTTCATCTCTCCCGGCTACGCTAAATCATTACAGGAAAACATGTGTCGTAGCATTAAAGAGATGAAGAGAAAATTGTTTTTACCTAGTGACATGTTTTCTGCCAAATGTTATTCCTTGTGTTCCTTTTTATTCTGTTGGATTTTTAGGAAATTTTGTTTCTATGATTTACTTGTCATTTTCAAGTTTTAAAATAATATTAATTATTATGTTATCAATTATATTCTTACATTTTTAATTAATTTATAGATGATAACTAATATATATTTATTATGAATTAAAAATAAAAGAAAATATAATAGATAACATTAAAATCATTTGATAAAAAATAGGAAAGTTTATTATGTGTAT